AGAGTGTGCCGCTGAACAAAAAGGATCCACTTTTAATAGCTTTAAAAAAATAGGTCTTTATTATAAAAGAGCATTTTAACATTACTGTAGTGTAAGAAGTGATGTTTTGCTTATTTTCAGGAGAAGCTGTGTTGGATCCGAACTGGTAGACTGGCTTTTGGAGCAGTGCCCTTTTGTTAAGTGCAGATCTACAGCAGTTGGAGTGTGGCAGCTCCTCCTGGACATGGGCATTATATTATCAGGTCGGTCTTGATAGTGCTTCTAGCATGAGGAAGGCTATCAGTTTCTCCTGCATAGGATAAGACTCCCCTTTTTGATGGAAGAGGAAGGAGGGAAAGAAAAAAAAATGCAGATTGATCCATTTTTCTTCATAGTTGTTTATTTTACTGTCTCTTTGGTAGGCTTACCTCTGTGACCTTTCATTTCATAAATACCAAAGACAAGTCTTTTTTTAGGCAGTTTCCTTCCTTTTGCTTTTGCAAATGTAATTGCCTATTACCAAGTTGCAGACAGCGTGCATGTCTTTTCCAGCCTATTTTTTTTTCTCCTCAAGCTCTTTTAGGTTTTTCACAAGACAGCAGCTGTTTAGTCACTGCAGATCATGGCTTCGCCAGGGTGACTTCTCTAGCTATTAGTGGTTTTCCATTCCTCTCTCCGTTTTTCATAGTATTAGATTACAACGGATTGAGAGATGATTCAGATCCTTGGACGGTGGTGATGCCAGGTTCTACCCAGCTGTCCCCATCTTCCCCACCAAATTTAGGGGTTTGGTTCAGCTAATGTGGCTGGCAATAATTACACCAGTAACCAACCTCTGGAAATCTGATGGAGTTTACTTTGTCGCTGGGACTACTTAGGTAGCTCAACTCAGCATATTCCACCATGGGGTCTGTGCTAGACACTTAACTTTCCTCTTTGTGAAAAGGTGAGGTGTTATGGAAGATTTCTGCTTATGTACCCTGGCAGTATACTTAAAGATTTTCTTCTGCTCCAACTACACTGACAGTATGTCTGATCATGCAACCTCAACAAGGGCTGAATGACTCTCCCAGCAGGAGCCTGTGCTTTTGGCTTTGGACCCCATCCTTTGATCCCAGTTCAATCCCAGTTATGCCAGGGAAGACGACAGATGTTGTACTGGTGCATCATCTTACCCAGGTCTAGTCTACAAATCCAGTAGCCCTGAATTTGAGGAGAAGCTAGGGTAATGGGGGGCTGCATCCCCAGTATTGAACTTTGCTTACTAGTGCCTGGCCGTTTATGAGAACAGATTAGAAGCCAATGGAAATTGAAGCTCAGAAAACTGACAAGTGGAAGGTTTTTATCCCCTAATTCTGAACTGATTCTGACATTGATTAAATACTCAGCAGTCTTAATGCTTGAATTTCAAGAGCCTGGAGATCTTCAAATTGAGGTTTTGGGGTTGTCCTGTTTGGATGCACTGAGTTAATACGAGAGGGCAGGATTGCTTCTATGCTGAGTTTGTGATCCTTTTGCCCTGTGTGGTGGTGCAACTCAGCATTAAAGTCAATTACAGTACAGAATGTGGTGGGGACACAGAACCTTTACATGGTAAAGATTTAAAGGCTATCTAATGTTATTTTTTCTGACAGTGGACAGACAACTCTATTTTCAAGACACTCATGCTTTCTACCAGTTCTCAGCGGATGAATGTACCTACCTTTTCTGTGAATTTGAGAAAGAGGAAGGATGGAAGAATGGAGTAAAGCTCCTACTTCAGCTACTGCCGTTGTCTCCTCCCAGGATTGACATGTGTAATCTGTAAGTGTGCGTATACAGCTGTTTGCAACTTTTGCTGACTGTTTTGTAAGTGGCTGGCTTATAATGACGCTGTTTACACCCAAACCACTGTGCAAATGAGCCAGGTTTCTTTTCAGGGTTGACAAGCTTTGTAGAGATGGGCTTTTCATCTGAGAAAGTCAGTGTGGGTAGACAAATGAAGGCATTCGATTTGGGATTTTTGGCACATTGTGGTTCTTATGCACTAGCTTGCTTACTCTAGCTTGCTATATTACCTGGGCAAATGGCTTTATTTTTTTGGTCTCCTCTTACATTTGGAGGTTTGGCATGAATTCAGCAGCAGGCATGCTGTGGAGCTGATTGACTACCAGATCAGATGCCCTTGTGCTGTGTCAGGATCAGCTATCAGATGGGTAGAAAGGTGGTAGCTTCAGTTGTCTGATTTTACTTTGCTACTGCATGTTTGCCAGAGCTCTGTGGTCTCACATTATTATTCCTTTTTCTGAATATGTCTTTTAAGAGTTTCGCTTCCTATGTGCCTTCTCTTTCACCTGACTATTGGATGTTATCATACTCTCTGTACTGATACAGCTGCGCTCTAAATGTTGCCTATTTAGAGCAACTAGAAGAAAACCATAGGTACTTGCGCCACAGTAAGAGGCCAAAATATAGGAAAAAAGGTGTCAATGAGAGGTCTTGAGGCTCGTCACCCCTCATGCCTTGGCAAATCTGCAGGAGCTGGCCTGGATAGACAAGTTGGGTTAAATTCTTTCATTGTCCCTAGCATGATGAATCCTCCAACCTGATACTCATACTGTGGAGAACTATTAGTCTGCCAGTACTAGCATTTATTCTGTTTGATGTCAAAGACAAAGCTTTCTTCTATAAGTACTTTCCTCCTCTACATATTAGACTTTAAAAGCACGTTCTCTGAAATGAATGTCCAATGGAAATATTTTAAAGGAGTCCAAAGCCCGAAGTCCCTGTAAGCTGTCTCAAGTCCAGCTTCTTAAATTCAGACATGTTGAGCTGGTAGAAAAAAATCTCAGCAATTTCTCTGCATGGCTCAGGACAGAAACTTGATTCCCTCCCCTGTTGCTGACTGCCCTCACCAATCAGAAATTGGCAGTTCTGGAGTGGGGATTCCCTTGAAAATACATTTATTTGGTCAGCTTGAGTGAGCATAGCCAAGTGACAAGGACCCCAAATTGGATAGAGCAGGGGACTGAATGTGATCTTCTAAGCAGGTGACATATGGGAGAAAACCTTTGAATATTTTTGCAAATAGGAATTCTTGTCTTCTAGCCTACTCTGGTGCTAAGCAGTTTGGCTGTCCCTTAAGTATCAGGGCGATTTCATCTTGATTTCAGTGGGAATTGGGGTTTTCCTCATTATCACTGCAAATCAGGCCGCTTTTCATGGTTCATGACTATTCGTACAAAGGCTTTGAATCAAAAAGACAGAACAGATAGGTCATATTGATGTGTTACCTGAAGGATGCTCAGTAGGAAAATGGATTGAAGACTTTTTAGGTTCAAGTTAAAAATGTGTCCTGCATGCTGACCTTGGCCAGAGAGTACCACTATTTTACAGTCTGCTTTGCAGTTTTATTGTTCTGGTGCAACTGTCGTTTCTAGTGGAGGATGATCCCTGTCACATGAATTGAACAATTATTCATTAATGTACATTTCCAGCTCCTTCCTGCTCACATTATTCAAATTTTAGTTGAAGTTGGATTCCTTTTGGGAACATTGTCACTGAAGAATTATTTTCTGGAGGTTTTACCTGTCAGATTGTGAGGGTGTTTTTTAAAAAAATATATATTGAAGGAATCGAATTTTACATAATGGTATATTCTCGAGGGAGTGTGATATTAAAGGGAAAGGAGGCTTTTCCAGGTTCAAAATTCTCCATGCTTGGTGCAAATAATACACTGCTAAAACGCGATCTGAAAGGGAATAGATGTGATGAGGTGTTTGTTAAAGTAATCTGACCAGGTTAAATAAATCCATATACCCTTTTTTCATGAAGAAAGAGGGCAATCCTAAAAACTCTTCCATGCAGTGAGTGTTTGTCTTTTCTCAAATATATAAGCTGCTTTGCATACCATTAGAAGCATAGTCTTTCTTGTAATTTAGTATTTTTGTATTCATTTTTCTGTGTTAGTTTTTCTCATAGTCTGTATTGACAACATTAATTCTGTATGTACATAGGGATAGAGAAAGTCTTATCTTATTAATTAGATTCCATGCTTTTCATGAAATCAGAAGCAACTGCCTGCTTGTGCACCAGAAGGCAACGTTGGACATCTCCTGGTGGTCCTGGGAGCCAGATGAGCTCTGTCTCCTCTGTGGCTGGTGGGCGGCAGCCTTGCGCTTGCCTGGACTGCTAGGTGCATCAGTGGGTCTCTGTGGAGCACCGTGGATCTGCTCTCCCAGAAGGAGTCTATAGACCTGAGTAGGCAGTAGCAGCTCTGAAGACTTTCTTCAGCAGCTCTTCTGGAAACTCTACTAAATAAACATGGCCCGGTCTTGACTTGCTGCACAGATTTTTGATGGATTTGTATTTGTTTCTGGTCAGTATTAGCAGTGTTACCAAATAATACTATAGTGAGTTCTACAATGAAAATAGCATTCTGAAGCCTGCGACGTGCTTACGGTTCCTGAATAAATGCTCCTTGTTGCCTTTTGACCTTGGCAAATTCCCTACATTAAACATAACATTCATGAGAGTCTGCCATGGAAAACAAGACGGGACATAGCAGATTTTTAGCAGCTCACACTAAACTGAAGGCTAATGTTGTTATGTGTATTCCACAGGACTGAGCCCCTGTAAATGTTGCCAAATGAGGTGGGACTGATGCAGAGGCCTCTTGGGGTCATTAAACACCCTATGTTAATCACAGCCAATTCTACTTGAATAGAAAAGAAGTGAATATTGCAATAGCCTGGGAACAAAAGATCTGTATTGAAAGCTGTGCCATGGACTTCCTTACAACCGTGAGCAATCACTTAGGCTCTCATCCAATGCCTCCTGAATTGTTTTCCAGTGACTGCAATGGCTTTGTATCAGGTGTTTAATCTTTGTGTGCTTCTATTTCCTTCTTTGTAAATGGGGGTGTTTATAACAACACCTAATTCCCAGGACCACTGGTAGACTCAATGAACGTTTCAAGAATTCATTGGGTACCTTAGACTGTTGAAATGTATCCTATAATATTTTTTTTATTATTTGAAGAGATGTTAACAGGGATTTTTTTTTCTTTATCTCATATTGCTTGTTATTTTCTTTTCAGAAGTGTTACGCTATATTCTGTATCTTCTGTCCTGAAATAATTTACAGTTTAGTAATTTCAGAAAAGTAACTATTCTTGAAAGTAATTTGTTTTTAATGCAAATAGCCAGGATGGGATATTCATTTAGTTACTGCCTTATGGAGTTCCTGGAAAGCTTTTGCTGAACGCAAACAGCTCTCAGGTATCCATGGCTCTTTTATTGGCATTGTAGGTGGATTGTAAAGCCAGCATAGAGACATATGTAGTGGCTCTGCTTTGGACAGTTGAGGTCCAGGCCCAGGACCATGAGTGTATCTGTATTGCTTCCTCTGTCAGTGGATCGGAAGCACTGTAGTTTTTTTCACGTGGTGTACAGTAATAATTGTGCTGGACCTGACTTGCCTGCATGCAGATCTAGGGCAAGCATCTCTGCATCTCGCTCTGCTTAACACACTACCGAGCCCAAGGACCACTGAGCTGTATAAGCATTAGGCTTGTTCGCCTGGGCTTTGTAGCTCCTGTTTGGTACCAGCCCTACTAGGTCTTAGCTGTCGCCTTTTGAAAAAAATAGGGTGATATCTGTGCTGATTCTGTTCCTAAGTATCTATTCTGTCTTACTTTTTTCCATTAGCCTGGGTATCATAATACACACTTCCTCTCTGATTCTGGAGACCTGACTATAATTTTTAGTATATTAATGGTTTCAGAAGTATTCGATGCTCATATGCAGGTGAATACTGCGTGTATTTTTAAATAGAAGGTGAATTGATAAAGGCCCAAGATGGAAATAGCTGTGCTATATGCTGTTCTGGGTTTATAAATTGCATCTGTGGCTGTGTCTACTGAGCTGCTATCTTTTGCCTCCAATTTACAAGAATCAGGTCCTAGCCTTGTTCTGAGAGATCAGATGTGTACGGAAACATAGGCATATGAAGAAGTCAATTATTTTAATTTCATTCCAAATTATAAAGAGAAAGACTGAATAAATCAGTCTTTGTGAGTGAAACTACATCCATTTGTTTCTTTTGGGCTGTTTATAACACTTAAAATGTTAAATCACATTTTTCTTTGAATAGGAAAGGCAGTTGTGAAAACAATTGTGATTTCTAGCCTGAATTACCATTTTGGTCTGAATATGCTTGCCCCAAAATGAATGCATGTGTCATTCTGTGCTTTCTGACCTTAATTTTTTAATCAGGGAAAGAAATTTTTGGACATGGGATGTAAGAACCACAATATACCAGCTGCATATTCCAGACATGTTATCAGCTCTCTCCCTAAACACATCAAGGCATATAATAAATTAAATAATTTAGTGAAAGATAGAAGCTTCTACTAATACCTGGGTTTTATGTTTATTACAGCAGCTGCAGTTTTGCGTATCTGCTAAGTTTGCTGGCATGCCGCGCTTCTTGAGTACCATGAAAAGTAAAGATCTCAAGGGCATTGTCTTTTTCTTTTTCCCCATAGTAATAAGCCTATCATATTGGTATCTTTCTTCTGATTGCCAATAAAGCTTCCAAAAGGCTTGCAGATGTTCTAGTGATGGGAATTAGACTGTTTTAAAGAAAAACACAGTCCTATCCCATGCTGTCCACAGCAGCTTTTGTGTGGCTTTTTCCACATGGGCCAGACTTCTGTGACAGTTTCTAGAAGGGTTCTTCCTGCACTGCCCCACTTCTGCAAAGACACATTAAGTTTCTCTGTCTTGTGAGTAACTATCAAGACAACCTAATAACGTTCTCAGCCGTTGCTTTAGTTTGCTAATTTATGGCTTCTTACATGTATTCTTTTAATTCTCACGTATTTTTTTTTTTAAACATCAAACTTCATGTGTCACATAATGATTTTGATGTTGTCTGCTTTTATCTATGTGAGCTTGCATTCCATAGGTGTTGCTCCACACCTTAGCAAAGCTGGGTGGTGGGCAGATGGAAAACTCTTTGCTCTGTTGATAGAGTATGTTTTTAGCAGAGCAAAATATGCATTCAAATAAGCAACTCTGAGCTAAGAGGGTCCTGCATTCTTCAGTTCTTCATTGTATTTTTATAGCCAAAGAATTCTCTCACTGTTTTACGTTAGTCCAATCAAAAGAGTTCTTGACAGCAAGGGACAAAGGGTGTACTCTGTCGTTATTGACACAATTAATTATTGACATGTTGCAGTCATCATTTTGATGTGGAATCTCAAAGGACCTTTTACATTAGTGCCTGTGGCTACGCAGTTCCTTGCTTTCCAGGAATCAAAAGATGTTGAAACAGAATGAAAGAAATAATAAAATCTTATTTTTATTTTTTTAAGGCCTGATCAAAAAATAGAAGATACGGCAGAAACCAATGCTGAAATTCTTGCTCGTCTCACTTCTGCGGTAAGGTCACTGCATCAAAGTTTGTACTGATCACGTTTGAAATATTGTCGTGTTTTGGATCCTTTCAAATTAAAGGCTTAGTCTTAGTGAGCAGGTGTTTGTAACGCAAACTACTTTTTTTGTCTCTGAAAGGAGGAAGCTTTACTGAGGTCTTAGTATGCAATTCCAAAGCTATTAAAATCAGTCCAAGCAAGGACTGCTGCAGCCTGCTCTCTTGTAATCCATGCTATTCATGGCCCAGGAGATACCAATTTGGAGGATCGTGGTGATTTTTCTGCCAAGTAGCTTACACTCAGATCCTCTTGGTCAAGTGGGCATCAGTGTGAAGACAATGATGGGGTGGGGGACAAAGGGAGAGAAAGGGCCTCAGCAGCCCTGGCATAGATTATCATAAGCTTCTGAGGAGACCCACCTGGGAAGCCTGGGTAGCTGGCTTTCCAACCACGTTTAGCCTCAATAAACTCCATCATAATAAGCAACAGCTTATTCTGTCTGTGCTAGAATTTGGTGCATCTTCTTTATCTGTTGTAAGATCATTGTTCTAAGAAGCAGACAGACAGAGTGCACCCTCAGCAAGTTTGCAGGTGATGCAAAACTGGGAGGAATGGTCGATACACCAGATGGGTGTGCTGCCATTCAGAGGGACCTTGACAGGCTGGAGGGATGGGCCAATAGGAACCTCATGAAATTCAACAAAGGGCAATGCAGTGTCCTGCATCTGGGAGAAATAACCTCATGCTTCTGTGCAGGCTGGGGGCTGACTGTCTGAAAAGCAGCTTTGCAGAAAAGAACCTGAGGGTCCTGGTGGACAGCAGGTTGAACATGAGCCAGAAATGTGCCCTTGTGGCAAAGAAAGCCAACTGCCTCCCGTGCTGCATTGGTAAGAGCATTACCCTCAGGCTAAGGGAGGTGATCATTCCCCCTCTACTCAGAACTGGTGTGACACATCTGGAGTGTTGCATCCAGTTCTGAACTCCCAGTACAAGAGACGTGGATGTACTGGACTGTATGCAAATGACCATGAAGATGATCAGGGGAGCAGAGTATCTGACTTACAGGGAGAGGCTGAGAGAGCTGGGAGTTGAGCTTCGAGAACAGAAGGCTATGGGAGGATCTTATAAATGTGTATAAATACCTGATGGAAGGGAACAAAGAAGACTGAGCCAGGCTCTTCTTGGTCACATCTTGTGACAGGACAAGAAGCAGTGGCACAAACTGAAATTCAAGAAATTCTACTTAAACATAAGAAAAAACTTATTTACTGTGAGGGTGATCAAACAGTAGAACAGGTTACCCAGAGAGGTAGTGGAGTCTCCATCCTTGGAGATGTTCAGAACTCAACTGGACACGGTCCTGAGCAACCTGCTGTAGCTGACCCTGCTTTTGAGCAGGGGTTTGGATCAGATGACCTCCAGAGGTGCCTTCCTACCTCAACCATTCTGTGATTGTATGGTTCTGCAAACATCACACCTAAATCACGGTATCAGCAAAACATGGAATTCTGTTTTGGGTACATGAGAAAGTACAGAGATGAAAATGAACCAACCAGGGTGAAGTTGTCATGAAAAAGACATGAGAATAAAAGCTATTTTAAGTAAAACGAATAAAGTACTATATTGAACTGGCTGAAAAAATGGAAG